CATGTGGCACAGGAACCACTCCGACGCACAAAGATTGGCTGATGAGAAGACCAGGCCAGAAAGCTTTGGTGCATTGCTCCACTTTGTGCTTTTCAAGAAGCCTAGGCATTCATACATTTTCTGAAATGTATCGACGTTGGTGGAAACCATATGAGCCATCAAGAGCCATCGAAACACAGGAGCATGATAGACCTGACCATGTACCAGCTGCTACACACCCTACCGCTGTGAGGGCCCTAAGGTCGTTACCCCCTAAGAGCATAAACATTGTCCCCATTCCAGTGACTGCTTTCCCAAAACAACAATGCAAACAAGAGCTTTATCATGCTTCATCCCTTGGAACATACTGCTCTTAGTATAACTAGTAGTTCAAGTGTTGTTGCGTTGGGTTTCATCTTGCAGTCAGGTTGGATGGAGCCTACGAGGTCTTTGAGCTCTTCTCGCTCAAGCCCGCTAGGTACTCAGAAGCTGCAGCCTCTGCCAAACCATGAATGTTCTTCGCATTGACCTCTTCCGACGCCCACTTGTTCGTGGCAAATTTCCAAAAGCCATCCTGGAGGCAAATTTGTTCATGGGAGCAATTGGGAGCATGAAAGAGATGAATACCTAAGTGAATACCTATAGGCCTTGCAAGGACTTTGATCCCAAACAACAAACTGGTGACTGGTGGCAACATCAGACATGTGGGTAACCTTTAGTCACCTTGAGGACTACAGAGGACAATGTGGAACCGTTCAACTGTTCGTTCATTGAGGAGCCTCGCCTACCGCAATGCTTCTGTCTCGTCCTGTCAGGTCCGCGCGCGCGCGCCACTCAGGGGAGCCAGTGTGCATACATGTGGCGCGCGCGCGCTGACCCGACAGCCACTAACTCAATAGGCAGGCAAATTAACGTTTGTTGGGGGGGCAACCTATATGCGCACATGTTTGATTTCATTTGCACCCACCACCCCCACTTTCCAACTTGTCACATAAAGTCCTCGTGGGCACTGTAGTGGGAGAGCACAGGCTTGATTGTTTTCGCAAAGCAATCCCGTAGTACTTGCCACTTCAACTTTGGAAATTCGGATTTGGGTTCCACCCTTCTCGCAAACGTCATGGCTTCAGCACCCCTTTTTCTTGTACGACTTCCTTTCCCTTCTCCCACATCTTTTTGCCCCTTTTCAGACTCCTTTGCTTCCTCTTCACAATCTTTGATCTTCTTCTCAGATTTCTCTGCTTTCACTTTTCTTTTGCGTCCTGATGGTGCTGGCTCATTGTAGTCAGCCTCAATTGGCACAGAAGCCTCAGATTGACCTGCCTTCTCTTGTTGGGGCTTCTTACGCCTTTTCTTCTCCGGCTGCTCCTTTCCTTTGTCAGGCATTTCCTTTGCATCATCAGCAATGTTTTCTTTTTCATGGTTGCTTTTTCTCTCTTCATCATCTGTACCGTTGCCTGGCGCACTGGCCATCTCATGTTCCACCTCTTTTGTCACGTGTCCTGCCAATCCCCCTGAGCTAGGCTCCTGGGCTTCATCCTCCTCATGCGTCAAGGCAGCAGTGCTCTTGCCTCTTCTAAAAGCATCTTTGTTGGCGATGTTTTTCACATGAGCTTCCTTCGAATCTGTCTTCTTTTATTCCCCTCACCCTTTGCTTCACTTGGAGTGGTTCCATGACTCTTCTCATGTGCATCATCCCCCTCCAAGTCTTCCTCTTCCACCTCTTCATCAGCCAGGTATGGCTGGTCCTCATGATCTTCTTTGTCATGCTTGGCCTTAGCCTTTGCTTTCCCTTTGGGTGTCGCTTTTGCTTTTCCTCTTCCTCTGCCCCGACTCTTGCCCTTTCCCCTGCCCTTCCCACTTTTCTCTTTGCTTTTCAGCTCTGCGTCATCATCGTCCTCTCCCTCTAATTGTTTCAACCCAAGCTGCGAGCGACGCAATACCTGGGCAAAAAGAAAAATGCACCAGTGGGACCCAGCAGGATTGGAAAGGAATCTCATGAAAACACCCTTCAGCGAGACTTGCAATGATGCTAATTGCACTCTTTGGCTGTCAAGGTCGATCTAAAGTCCAAGCAACATGAACAAAACTGATACCATAAAATCTCACCGAGGCACCACTGGGGCAGAAGGCAATGTTGTAGTCCCAGGGTCACTAGCATGGTTCTTGGACATAGCCTCCATGTCACTAGGGGGCAGTAGAAGTGTGTCAGCTTGATCACCACCAAATGGGATACTCTCCATCACGTAGATTGCGTCTTGGGAAGTCTCACGCTTCGGGTTTGGCTGAACTTCTTGCTGCGCACGCCTCAACTAAACCCTCCCAAAGTAGACAATCCGAAGATACCTGAAGCCTTTTGTTGTAGTTTTGTTTCGGGATAAATGAGGAGGTAGATCAAAGCCCGCATTTCAAGCGCTCTTTTGTTGAATCAACTATTGAATATTGGAAAAGTTCTGGTGGAAAAGAATTGTTCGAACATGTGAGTGAGCATCAAGCAACAACACCACATAGTGTTAGAAAATATGTCGTGAATGAGATCCAGGCGCTGAGACGCATACAGCTTCTTGGCATTGTTCAATTTCATGGAAAGCGCCGAGATATGGTTTTCGATCTCAGCCCGTCTTGTGACAAAGTCACAAAAAAAGCCTTCTCTCAGCTTTTGTTTGTCCTCACTCTTCATGGTTGTTGGGCCAGGGCTGTCTCCAATTTCAATGACTTCAGCCGGGGTGGGCTCGGGCTCCATCTCAAGCCTGGAGGTGTCATCCAACGCCATGGGACGATCACCTTCATCCTCATTGGAGTTGAACTCCATACTCACCATGCCTCCGAGCGCCTTAGCCTCCTCACTCTCTTCAACTTCCGGATTCTCCTCTCTGGTGCCGTTTTGCACATCGTGATCAAGAGCATCAAGATCATGTTTTTCCAACTCCTCCTCCCCTTCTCCGTTCACATCCATGAGTGCCGCATCCATGTCATCATTCACACCCTCCTCCTCCTCCTCCACCTCGACATCGGAATCGGACACATCGATCTCTTCATCCAGGTCTGCATCGTTGTCACCAAAGACCTGGCTGTCGGGCTCCTGAGTCTGCGAGTCATTGTGGAGGTTTTTCTCCTGGCAGTTGGCGCTAGAGCTGCGGGGGTCAAGAAGCCATGTAGCAGTAGCATTGTATTCAACATGCTAGTGGGTAAAATACAGAAGTAGTGTTTCCCTTGCTCATGAATCCTCCAATGGAATTGAAAGTTGATGGTTCACGCTATGTATGCATCGCCATCTAGGACCATGAACCTTTAAATCCCAACACTTGCCATCAACAAGTTAACTGTTGAGCCAACATTGAACAGCTACAGTGAGAACACACTGGGATTGGACAAGTCCTCAGGATCGAAGACCAAGGCCAAGAGCCTCCTAAACAGCTTTCCCCTGCAAAGTTGATCACGCTGGAGCTTTCGCTTAACCAAGACCAAGAATGCCTTGGCAAGCTTAGCTTGCTTCTTGACCAGTTTGTTGGATGGTGTAGAGACCTTCGACTTCAAGTACAGCTGTTTGATCCTTGAGTGGGCTTTTGAAAGCCAAAAGAGAGAGTATAATCTTGCAGCAATTGATCAGGAGGTGTTTGAAGTAAGGTAATTTTCCCATGTTTCTTTCAGGGAAACTAAAACAAAAACACTTCAAACATGTTGTGAGTCCAGCAAAGTGTCATCTGTTCGATGTGAGGAACGCAATGCATCCCCACTTGTCCAGGCGGGTCTTGGAGTCTTCGAACCAAGGGTTTGAGAGCTTCAAAGTTATGCTCACCACACTCCACATTCACACGGACATCCGCTTCGGTCGGAACGGGCACGAGCAGCTTCCCTTGCTCACGAATCCGTTGCCGAACGATTTGGGAATCATCCCATTCATCAACCACTCCCTTCAAAGAAGCCATGGGACAGGGCTGGCTGAGCACCAAGCTTGGGCAAAAAAAGGTCTGGGGATGGAAGAGAACAAGCTGCATGTTTGCAGTCACAATCCCCAAGATGGCAGTTGACTTGTTGTTTTCAAGATGGCTCCATTGATACTTCCATTGATTTTACAACACACCATCAAAGTGCCTAAGAACTTGGGTCCCCCAAGTCAAGTTTAGAGCTATCATCTCCTGCCAAAGACCGCCATCAACTCATTCAACTCCAGCTGGCTGAGGTCCCAGACCCTTCAACCAGACACGCGGCCCAGCGCGGGCCGGAAAAAGATGCTGCACGCCGCAGCTGTGGCCGGCAGGGTGATGGGACACGATGCTGGGCAAGGATCCCGCCCAAGACCGATCGATGATGATAGGGATTGTTTCATGATAAGGTCATGGTAGTCATGTGGGTGATACTGATCCTAGGTGTTCAAAGGTTGATCCTGAACAATGGATGCCACCAATCTTCAAAAAAAGGTCTTTTCCAAAATACGCCCTTTTGGTCAAAAGGCAGCCTTTCGAAGCGAGGGACGAATCTTGAAAGTGACCTTCAAAAACGAAGGACATTCAGGATGCAGGTATATATAGATTTGGAAATAAATAGGAAAGTATATATAGATCATATAGATCCCACTAAAAATGTATTGGAAACCGTGCCACTATCTATTCGGGGATCGCTAGTGGGATCACTATACAGAGGTTCAGTTTCTATGATTGATTGGCTTAGCGTACAGCAAACCTCGGTGAGTGACCCCGTCGCCCAGAACATATTTGTGGAGCTGATGTTCATGAAACACGGGTGGTCTTGCACCTTCCTTCGTGGAGCATCACTTCCTTTCTTTAAAAGTGGGTTGGGACCTGCGAATTCAGGTGTTCGGCGTCGTTGACTTATAGAAATCTCTATAGAACTTGTCTCATTTTGCTTAATAAATTGGAGCGTAGCTTCAATCGATTTCAACGGGAGGCGCCCATATGGGTGACTGTCGGTCCACGACTCGCCCGTCACGAACTTGTGCCGCCCACTTCCGTCGGTCTCGCGATCGCCGGCCGGTCACGCTGTGCTGCTGATCGGCTGCCGGCAGTCTTCGGCCCAAGCCTAGTGGCGTTCGCCAGCGTGGGGCTCTTTTTGCTAGATAGGAGAAGGACGCACTCTCGAGGACGGCTCCGTCGAGAAAAGCTTTGGTCGTGATGCGCCACGGATGCACATCACGGATCGATCCGGATGCACGGTTTCGGACGGTTTTCGGAGGTCACACGATGGATGCACGTGGGTGTCACACGGATGTGCTTCTTCTATGTTTGTTTGTGGAAAACGGTCGCGAGGCGGAAGAAACGGTCGCGAGATAACGATGGCGCGGCAGGTTCTGCATCTTGGTACCGCATCAATGTGCACTTCTCCAAGATTTGGCTACTCTCCAAATCAGGCGTGGGGGAAGAAAGTCTGACGCGGAGAGATGCGAGTGATCCCCAAGATACCCCAAGGACGTGCCCGGGAAATCACTGGAAAAAACATATGCATGAATCATAATCGAACATACGTGAAAACACCACATCACCTTATTCCATAGCACGGATGCTGTTGTACCTCCAAGATGTTCTTAGGTGCGAAGCAAGCCGCCTGTTGATTTTTTTCGACCAACTTTGAGGCCGCTTCGTCGGCCCTGCGGAGCTTCTTGCTGAAGCACGGCTTCCTGCGACGCGAACGACGGCGCTGCTCCAGCGAACGAGTGCAGCCGATCCATGTGGCTGCCCAGCGACCTGGATGCAGGAAGAGCCAAACTCGAGCATAGATATCCCAGACCATCGGACTGGAAGATATGTTGTACATTGAACCTGTTGAACATCTTAAAATCATTATTTTATATGAAATCATATTAACTAAGAGGTTTCACACTCCCAAACTTTTTTGTTACAGAGCCAAGCCGGCATTATATAGCAATATTTGCAGAGCTTCCATCACCAGACACTTCCATGTTTCAGTAGTATAATGCAATAGATCATGAATAACTACACACTGTATCGTCCTAAACCCCAAACAAATCCTGCCTGACTTCAGATCGAACAAGAACTGGTCAACCTCTTCCACATTCATTTGGGAGTAGAGAAAGTAATCCTTGATTACGTTCAAACGAATCCAATTGGGTTCAATCAATTTCCAGTCAACTATTCACTCTCGGAGTCATGCACATGGCAGTGTAGTTCACCACCTGTTTCACAGCGTCTTGGCATCCTCATGTGCATCCTTTCAAGGCCATGCCATCCACGTAACCGGGAGTCGTTCAAGCGAGTGTATCAGCATGTATATAATTACCCTGGGGGATCCAGTCGTACCTTCTCAGAAGGTGGGACATGGGGTGGGTGCCAGGAGGGTCCAGGTGCCTTTTGACAAGGTACTTGGATCCCTAGGGATATATATATATATAATATATACATACAATGTAAATCAAACATCTCCAGCTACGTACAAGCAGGAGAGTCCTTTACTTCAGGGAGTGTACTTCTTCTTCGAGCTATCCCCACCCGGAACTCGTGGCAGTCCGGTCACGCCCTATTGTAGCATTGGTGTTGCCATTACTGGGGGACTGCCATATGTGCCGATCAGTCCATGGGGGTTGTAAATATGACACAAGAACAATGTGGAGCTTTTGGGGGTATGACTTGGTGTTGTCATTGCGTGTTGTTTGTGTATGTGTCATTGCTTCTTGTTACTTGTTTGTTATCGTGGTGTTGTTCTTATGTTCAGTGTTGTCATTGTGTGGTGAGTTTTCAGTGTTGCCTTTTATTTTGTTTGTCGTTGCACCGGGTTTCTGCACTGCAGCGGAGGTCATTGATGGAGTCGTGTCCAAACGAACAGTGGGGTATGCTTCTTCAGTTCGTGACCCGAACGAGTTGGAGTCCCAGCCTACATGACGAAAACTTCCAGTGACCTTATTCCGTGACCCCCCAAGGTCAAGTTCGGTCACGGGTTCGGGTTCAGAACCGAAGGATACCGAAGGATACCGCGTGTGTTCTCCCGAACCCCTTGGGGCGCCCCCCCCCGAGGCTGGGAGATGCACTGGTCTTGGAGTTGCTCCTGGAAGCCGGTGCCGATCCCTTCGTCCTTTACCAAGGCCCCGGTCGTCGAAGGGTCTTTCACGCGGCGAAGACGTCGTGAAGACGCAGGTTGACACCGCCATGGTTGGAAGGGGCGTTGGAAGTGGAAGTTTTGGGCATCTCCCAAAAAGTTTCCAATCCAGCCGCATGTGTGTTTTCAAGTTCTTTCAAAGAAAGTTCTAGGCTCACCATGTTTGCCATGCCAAGAGGAGTCCCGCATGACAAGCTGAATCCTTGATTCTTTCAAGTCAGTGAGCCAGTTCTTTGTTTCGTCAGCCTGAGTTTCAAAGAAGGTCACATACATCGCTGGGTGGTGGAAGTTGTTAAAGTGTAAAGCTGGACGACGCGCACCAGCGTCGTGAAGAACTGGCATATGACTCCCTTTTTCAGGCCAGGGGTGGTTGAAAAGGGATGGATGTAGATTAAATACCTATACTATAGAGAGCTGAGAGGGATGTGAAAGAGTGTCCACAGTACTCGTGCAGGGTAGTCTGACTCAGGAGAGCCCGGTTTCGGAAGGTGCTGGTACTGGAAATCCTGCTTTTTGCTTTGGAGTTGTTGAGCAAACCCTTCTATCAGGCACTTGAAGGCGTGGAAACACATGGAAACACCTTCTACTTCACAAAGCTGATTCATTTGTTCATGCAGTTATTTATCAGCTTGCTCTGGGCAGAGAATACTTGTCTATCGGATCTATCGCGAACAAGAGAATGCCCCTCTTCGATTCCAGTGAGTACCATGGCGGGGTATTTTCTTGCACTTAAAGGATCGACTGATTCAGTCCATTCCTGGTCAGAAACACGTCCCGACCATTGGATCTTATTTGAACTCCAACCTGCCCAAGCACTGTCTTGGGCCACACTCCGACATGCAGGTCAGTCGCCGCTCGAGATTGCCAAGTCGCAGAACCAGGAGCTTACCGCAGGGGCATTGAGAAAAAGAAAGACATCCAGGATCATCAGCAACAGGACCCTGTAAGTCCTTGGAAACTCAGTGTCAACGCAATCCGTCCTTGCCGCCCCCACACACACACACTTATGAAATCTTATGAATTTGCGTACTGAACTGAAAGCGGTTTGCCATGGTTTGCCACTTGCCAGCCTAAGTGAAAAACCTAAGGTTCCAGGCTTCCAGGTAAACAACACACCAATTGACTGCCCTCACCTCCAAGTTCAAACTGCAAGCTCAAAAGCAAGTCAAGTGCGTGACTGCCGATGCAAACAGGCGCAATGGCCGGAAATCTTGTTGTAGTTACAAGCAGGGCCCACGAGGAATTTGCTCTGGTAAAGCTGCAGGTACGCCGAGTTGATCAGACTCGGTATCAAATGATTGTGGTAGCTTCGTTGAGTGCGGTCCCACAATCATGCCGCGCTCCCCTGCGATGAAAAGATTCAAGAACACAATCCTACAGGATCCCTGTAATTCCAAGGGGTACACACACACACACACACGCCTCCCCGAGGGGAGGCGTTCCTTTTCAAAGCGTCCAGGGACACTCAAACAGTAAAAGAGGTGCTCCCAGCTATGACGCAAGCATCCAGGGACACCCCAGAGGAAAAAAGAGAGAGAGAGAGAGAAATCTAAGGTCCCGACAGACTCCAACGAGTCTTGAACAAGCTTCGGCCGCTGCGGCCACGTACGCCGTGCCAAAATGGCTGGCTGCTTTGACCGCTACTGTCATACAGGCATAAGCCAGCTTAGAACTCAATAGTTCAACAAATCTTGGCAAGTAACTTTGGCCGAAGCCTACTTCGCCCGCTCTGGGCACGTACATCTCCGGGCAGGGGAGATAAAGACGAACCCCGGTTCGACGGGCATGAAGCCAGACACACTTATGAATTTGCGTACTGAACTGAAAGCGGTTTGCAACTCGCCAGCCTAAGTGAAAAAACTAAGGTTCCAGGTAAACAACACACCAAGTGACTGCCCTCTCCTCCAAGTTCAAACTGCAAGCTCAAAAGCAAGATCAAGTGCGTGACTGCCGATGCAAAAAGGTGTGCAATGGCTGGAAATCTTGTTCTAGTTACAAGCAGGGCCCACGAGGAATTTGCTCCGAGTTGATCAGACTCGGTATCCCATGATTGCGATAGCTTCGTTGAGTGCGGTCCCACAATCATGCCGCGCTCCCCTGCGATGGAAAGATTCAAGAACACAATCCTACATCCCTGTGATTCCAAGGGGTACACACACATCGCAACCCTAAAAAGAAGTCAGCGCCCAGAGATTTCTGGCGCCCCCCTTTTGACGGGTGGATCAGCATGTTTTTGTTCAAAGGATTGCACAAGCCAGACCACTTTCATGATTTTTCAGGTGCGTTCCTAGATGAAACAGACCACCTGTGTCACCACGTGATGTTTCCTGCTGGGCCTGCGCAAACGATACCAGGACACCCGTTTAGGGGTGTCTATTGATAGCCCCTTAGAGGTTAAGGGGTGTCCATTAACCACCCCTTGTGGGTCCTAGTATTTTTAACTCTTGTTCGTTTCTTTGTGAGTCAAATGGCCCGTGGTTTCCTAGACATGGTTGCTGTCAAAACGCATGAAACACGGCATCCTGCCATGACAGATGTGGACTCGCTTGCCCAGTGACCCAACTTAACGATTCGGCCAGCAGATGAGAATTTGATGTTTCTATGCACGTGTTTCTCCAATGGTCGCATGCCGCTGCGCTGGGGTTCTACAGCTGTCATTCACCAGTAGGTCAACCAACTACAGCTGTAGCTGCTATATGATAATTTGGATTCATTTGAATTCATTTGTGATAATTTGTGTTTCTTTTGTGCTTTTCTCCAGGAGGACTCCCACTCTGATTGCATTGAACTTTTGGTTTCCGCGCTCACGGTGACGTCTGAGTTGGTTTGATTTGGCGACTCCCGCCCCGCCGCAGCGTCCCCGTCGTGCACGGTGCGTCCCGCCGCAAAGAGCTCGGTGCGACGGACCGACGGAGACTTCGGTGGTCGAGTGATCGGTCGGGCAGTGAAGTGGAACCTTCTATTGGACCCCTGCGAAGGTGTTCGGGCCGACCCCTGTCGGCGTTAGAGCCCAGTCGGAGAGCTGTCGCAGGCCGCAGGAAAACACATACGTGTGATTGAAGTGTACGGATGTCGGACATGCATGAAAAGACGCTGTAAAGGTTTGAGAGTCCAGGGGGTATTTCCATTCTTTGCGCATCAAAGGTTGATCTTGCAGGCTTGCAGGCCGTGGTTTCTCGAAAACGGTCATTTTAAGTTCAGCCTGGTTTTGTTTCAGTTTCGGGGTGATGTGTATCTTCCCCCACTGGATGAATGTCCCTTCCTGCGAAGATGTTTTTGATGTGTTTTTTCATTGTTTCCCAGAAAGAAATCCTGTAGATAGGCAAGTTCTGTCAAGAACTTCAAGAACTGTTTTGAACCAGGGGATCATCGAACACCAGCGGCGAGGGAAAGTGGTGGAGTCGCATATCTTGATGCGAAAGTACGCGCACCGTCTTTTGCACTAGCCGTGAACAGCAGCAGTGCAAACATCAAATTCACTGAGAATCCAAAATGCCCGAGCTTTACAACTCCACCATGTGCGTTTTCCCTGCACGGTTTCAAGTTCGGTGCATGATTGTAATTGCTGGTACAGAAAAATGATTTGAACCTTTTTAGGTGATGTCACAATCGGATGCATTTGTCTTGGGATAGCTCTTTTGTCCAATCGTTCCAGATATGGCTGTGGGTCAAAACTGGGCACCCTGGGTTGACCACGGAAAAACCATCAGAATGTTCTACTATGGAGGTCAACCTACCCTGGTTTGGTGGGGGAGGTTGAGTTTTTTCAGTCACTAACTGCGGCGCCGGCTCTGCTAACCATCTGGGTTGCACATGTTTGGACCCTCTGAACGATTGTACCAAACGAAAGTATGTTTGATTAGAGTAGATTAGAGTCTTTGGACATGGCCGACTCATTAAAGGTCCTATAACGGTGTACGTTGTTTGAACGGCTGGGGTTTGCATGTCGAATCGACATGTGCTTCATGTGCTTCCCTCACAGCCAATCCAACGTCCGGTCCGTGCCCTTCGCAGCGCGAGACTTCTCCTCTTCGTCCTATAGACGGGCCAAAACCCACCTAAAGCACCAAACCTCAGGAGGTCGGCCAGGAGCCCTAGGAGTTGGGGGGGCGGCGACCCGGCTGAACGTTTGTTCGGCTCGCCTTTTCTGTCACCCAGGCTTCAAGACTCGCAAAAGGCTTCAGAGAGACGAGGCTTTCAGGTACATAGCTAGCACAAATGGATATAAATGGATGTTTCATGTACAGTACAGATCTAGTCCAGTCCCATGGATTCTTTGAAAGAGCTCAAGAGCCACCAACCCCTTGTCAAGTTGGACCATCTCAGTTCTTTTCGGAACCTCCATGTCCGGCTCAGCCGTGCGTTTTCCGGTTCCTCACCGTGCCAACGTGTCACTTGGATTCTCATTCCGGTCCAACGGTGAAGACCCCGACCGTCCGTCGGGATCTCTACACGGTCGACCGGAGCGGGCGTCTTTGCATGGCTGCGACTTGGAGCGTTGACACTGCCGCGCGTTTGGAGCGTTCAGTTTCATTCGCCGCTGGCGCGACCGACCTCCACCGATCTAAGATTATGTTTTTAGTCTTTCTGTTGTGTTTTTCTTTTGGGGCGGGTGTACGTGTGTCTCCAAGGAGAATGAGAATGACCGCATCTCTTCTAACTACATTTAATTGTACAGTAAGCAGGGGCGTGTGACACTCTTATCCTATCACACGCAACGAAGCTGTGGATAAGAGTGGGAAGGGAAACTTGGCCAGTTTCCTGTACCTGCATGATAGTTAACCCTTTCAAAAGTGCTAATGCGTGTTGTTGCAACCTTCTGTTTGACCGACCCAGCATTTCCTGCCGTTGACTCAAGTCAAGAGTCAAGTGCTAATATTCAGTAACTAGCTTCTGGAATTCCAAACTGATAGAGCTCTTGCGAGCATGGATCTAAGTGTGTGCGGCAACAGGGTCCCACAGAGGTCTGTTGTGTGATCCCTACGGGGCACGTTGAGCATAGACCCTTAAGGGGGATTTGTCAGTGATTGCTCGTCTTGCTTGCCTCTCTCCTGAACAGCCGCTTGCTCGAAATTGCAGAATGTATGCCGCAGGGCCCACTGAAACCACTCCGGAGAATGTCATGACATGCTGCTATAATGTACGTAGTCTGTAGTCAGCTTGTACTTCAAGTTTCTTTCCTTCTTTCGGCTTCTCTTGGTTTTGTAGGTCTTTCTTCGGTTCGAATGGCTTTTTTCAGGTGTAATGGAGGCTTTTCAGTCAAGAGTGCATCGGTTTCGGCTTTCTGGCCCGTGCCTTCAGGCCAGTGCCTTTCACCCCCCCCCCCCTCTCACCCCCCCCTTTCTTTCCCTGCCTTTTTCGTTTGTTACTTGCCCGGAGGGTGGTTAGCTTTCACTTATAACCTAAGTTATGACTACCCCTAACATACTCATACGCTTTGTCATAAGTCTGCTAACCTCTGTAAGGTTTAGCTTTGAATCAGCTTTCACTTAGCTACGCCTATAGGACTTATAAATACTTAGGTGTGACTTAGCTAAGTCCAAACATAAGTCAGCTAAATCTAAATTGGACTTAGCTTTGATTTATAAATGACTTACTAAGTCAAAGCTAAGTCCAACCTAAGTCCGACCTAAGTCCAAGCTAAGTCCAAGCTTGAAAACAATAATATTTGAGTCTGTGTCTTTCAAGAAAATACATTGCTCAACACATGCGGCTTTGCTGCGCTCGCTTTTCTCACGATATCTGTTTACATGCCGGCTTGGCCGCGTGATTTTCTTTTGTTTGTGTTGTTTGTAATCAAATGTAATCAACAAGCTCAGTTATTGGGCTCGGAGGTATACCATGCCACATGACTCAATCAAGTCCCGTTTCTGAAGCAAGCAGTTGATAATGGCAGCGTGGTTGGGGACATGACCTGACTGATCATTGGTTGCATAACCTGCATCCCTATCAACCGGCTGCGACCGGACATCTTCTACTTTGCAAAGCCCCAAGGCATGGTCGAGCCCTAGAAAGGACTGTGTTGTTGCCAAAAAGTAATTGCAAATGTCAGCTTTGAGTAAAGAAAGGGCGCCTGCACCCGCTCCCTTAGGCAAAGTCACAACAGGCCGCCCCGCGGCACCAGGTCCGGTGCGGCTGGTCGACGTGCGACCTCCGGCACAGGCTGGGAAGAGAAACACGCCGGAGAGACCCCGTTTGGCAAGAGCCAGGAGAGCCGCACAGAAATGTGCGCTCACCTCACCGCCCTGCTCAGCCGCAAGACGGCCAGGCCGCAGGAGGTCGGAGCAACAGGGCAGAGTGGAGCGCGTATTTCCGACAGCAAAGTCCTCCAACGGTTTAGCGCAGATAGAACCAGTCGACCCACAGATATGAAATAGTGATCTTTCTTTGTGGATACGGTTTGTTTTGGGTATGGTCACCCAACGTACAACATTGCCTGAGGGAGTCACGGCAAAAAAACTTTGCGAAAACCCTCGCGGCATTTCCCTATCGTAAGTATTTAGAACGGAAAAGTGAGAAGCCAACGTCACACGTAGGATCCCTATATTTTCCGTGTCCTGGGGAATTCTCGTCCGCTTCGCATTGGAGCCCGGCCAGCGGGTCGGCGGCCCTCTGTCGGTGGCAGGAAGAGGACGCGTGGAGGGTGAGCGGCGGACCGTCGCTGGAGCGACGCCGCCCCTCGTGCTGGCCCCGGCCTGTCGGCCCGAGGAGAAATGCACGGGGTACGAGGACTGGGCCTGCTGCTTCTGCCCGTCACGAAGCGGCGCGGCTGCCCGCGTGCACCCGACACGGGGCGAAAGCAAGTGCATGTTCTGCTGTGGAGTGCAGATGCAGAACATGCACGAGGCCGGCTGGTCCAACGGGCTCACAGCGGCCCTGGAGAGGTTCTGCGCGGCGAGCCCGGGCGTTTACTTCGCAGCGCTCGACCGGGTCCGGCACTTCCTTGGCCAAGAGGCCGCGAAGGAGTACGCGGAACGCAGCCAGCTGTGAAACACAGAGACGCAAAGCAAAAGAAAAGCCGGGCGGGACGGGGGGCCACGGCGTGGGACACCGTGGCAGCATCTCCTCGCCCACTGCGAGGAGGTGCTGGTCGTCCCGGGGGTGATCGACAAAGCCCTCGAATAGGATCGGGGATTGAAAAAATTCAATCTTGTCATATATTTAAATATTGATATTATTGGGTATCAATCTCTTGGTTTTGACTGGTTTTAGCATGTTTGAAACATAGAACTAACTAAATATCGATATTTTTGTGACTTTTCCTAGGGTTAAAGATCAATATCAATATTATTGAAAGGAAATATCAATATTTTATGACTATTGGCACACATGCATCCTATGCACTTCTGCAGTGCTTATCCAATCAGTTCTGCAACTTCAAAAGTTGAATTGCTATTCTCTTGCAAGTCTTTTTTCACACATGGCTTTGCCACAACCTGATGTACATCATCAGCCTGTATTTTTCAGCAACTTTGACTGATTCCAAAGCAGCAGCTGTGAGCTAACTTTGCTAGTCTTCCAACAAAGTCTTCGGACCAGAAACACCAAGTGTATTTGGGGTTACCAAATTTGAAGCTGGTAGCCAGATGCTTCCCCATGTGAAATTTAATTGTGGTGTGCCACATCATGTCTGTGGGCCTGTTCAACTGCAAGTGTTTGTAGTAGGCAAGCAGCTCTGTCATGCAGTCTTCAGCTTTTGCAACTTGCAAAGCAGTTGGGTGCCTGCCACAGCTGTCCAGGAGGTCTGTGAACTTTGCCATGCATTCACACAAACCAAGGATTGAATCCGAAGCTTCATCTTCTGTATGGCACTCAACTGCCAGCTGTGCAAACACATGCACCAAGCTCTTGCACTCCCCTGCTTTCAGCTTGAAGAAAGGCTTCTCTTGGTGAGGCCTGTCTGCATTGATGAACATTGAGCTCTTGAAGAAAGACAGCTTGTT